GGGAAAGATAAGAAGTATAAGTGCAGTCAATACCTAATGTATATTAGTTTTAATGTCATTGAAACTATGTCCTCCACCAGTGTTGTACTCCAGTATCTCATCACACAGAATTGATACTGGGTTCCTATAGACCCTGCCATTGGTATTAGGCAAACAATGGTAGGCCCCACCAAGCTGAAAAGGCTCTCGAGTATGGGTCTGATGAGGACTCTAGATATGTCTTTGTCTGAAGACCAAGTTATTAAGGTTGTAGAGGCTCATCCCCAGGTTGACTGTAAGGTAATGCCACTTTTGTCCCTAGCATTTCTCAAACACCATGTAGTAAGTTGCAGAGGAGTGGCTGTCTTGTCTTGTTGGAAGGACTACTCTCCTAGAACCCTGTAGTATTTAAGTATTATATCCCTTATGCCTGGCACAATTTAATTCAACATATACATTAATGTCTGCTGTATGTAAAGCACTGTGCCAGGTAGCAGGGGAGACACCAAGTTTGGGCACATAGTAGATGCTTGGTAGATGTTAATTGAATTGAATTGAAAACTCCTTGAAGTCGTTTCCCATAAATGTAATCAGAAAACCATTTAAAGTTGAATATACTACCTAATAGCTGTCTTTTGTAGTCATTACATCTGTGTGTGTTGCCTTCTTCTCCTTCATCACCTGCTAGATAGCTCTATGTACATTTGTCGCACTGATGTGTAAATAATAGGAAGCACTTATCTTACCATGGGGACTCTTGTCTGCCACGTGTTGGGAGTGGGGCGTGCCCTCTGCACATTGTTCCAAGGGATATATTCAAGGAGTCCAGGAAGGTGCCTGTCTTGGATATATCAGGAAGACCTAACCAGCAGAGTTTGTCTAAACAATGCCTCACCCTGTGGCCAGGGCCAAACCTGCTGAGTGGTTAAAACCTTTGCATTGTGTCCTGGGAGATCTCTGACCCTGACGGAAGGGGCTGCTGTATTCATCAGCTGGCACAAGGCCCAGCTGGAGGGTGGACCCTGCACTGTCTGTGGAGCCCTTCTGCACTAGGTGTGTGGAGTCCTTTGGAATGAGGGGGCTGTTAGCCCTGCTGCACCACCACACACCTGCGCTGGGCAGAGTACACCTGGACTGCTGCTTTTACTTCTAGGCAGCCTAGAACATTTGAGAAGGGACACTGACAACCTGGAGCACTTCCAGAGGAAGACAGCCAGCATGGGGAGAGGATCTGAGATGCTGAAATCACAGGCTGTAGAGCTGGAATTAACCTTAGAAATTTTCTAGGCCAGAACTCCCTTGTTTAAAGAGAAGAAACTGAGGCCCAGAGAAGTTAAATGAACTTTTATATAGTCTGTAGCTGAGCTGGGACTTGAGCTCAGGTCCTCTGATCCCAAATCCGATGCTCTTCCTCCTATACTATTCTGCTTCTCAGTTCACAGGATCATAGGACCACAGATTTAGAACTGGAGAGGACCTTAGAGACTATTGAATCCAAATCTTTCATTTTACAGATAAAGAAATTGTGGTCCATAGAGGTTAAATGACTTGCTGAGTGTTATGCAGCTAGTATCTGAAGCAGCATTTGAATTTGGGTCTTCCTAACTCCATTTTTGCTGCACTTTATCCTTCTAGCTGCCTCATTGAAAGCTCTAGGCCAGGAATGGTGGCCCACGCCTTTGGTTCCTGCTCTCGGGGAGGCTAAGGCTACTGATTTGCTTGAATGTAGGAGCTCTGAGTTGTAGTAGGGCTGAGCTAGTTGAAGGTCTGAACTAAGTCTGACACCAGTACAGTGAGTCCCCAACTTTGGAGAGCCATCAGGCTTAGTTCAGGGGTGAAGCCGCCCAGAGAGGAAACAGTATATTGAGGCTCTTGTGCCTATCATTGATAGAATTGAGCCTATAGATGACCACTACACTTCCAGCCTGGAACAGATGAGGAGACCCGATCTGGAAAGAAGTGAGAAGAAAAGATCTAGTGATGTTTAACCTGTAGAAAAGAACCTTGGGTTTGTAGATCTGGGACAGGGGGCAATGAAGAGTGACAGAGGAAGGTGTCGAATCCGTCTTCAGGGACTGTATAAATGACCCTCACAGGGAAGAAGGATCTGATTTTAACCCAAGGGGCAGAACTAGGAACAGTCAGGACCATGTTTAGTGCTCTTTGCACTGTACCACATTCCCTCCATCATGCGGCTATGGATCAACTCCTAATGGTACCTCAGAGCCTCAGGAACAGAAAAAAAAAAAGAGGTACATGAAAGATAAACCTGTAAATCCATTTCAGTCAGCATAATAAAAATCAGTATTTTGTGTAGATTTTTAGTTCCCTGAACAACCTGATGATACATTTTGTTTTTCAAAACTGAGGATACCTAGAAAAACTCCATTTACTTATAAGAATGATGGTTTCTTCAAAAACTCTCTAGTTCACATGGTAGCACAAATTTCCATGGTTCTTTACAAAGCACTTTCCTTACAACAACCCTTTGTAGTAGGTAATATAAGTATTATCATATACATTTTATAGATGAGAAACTGAAGTTCTGAGAAGTTCAACGACACACAACTGGTAAATATCCAAATATCTAGGACCTTTGAACCTAGGTCTTTTGATTTTCAGATCAGTTTCTCTTTCATTACATCAGGTTCTTTCCTGGCCTGTATTATAACAGAAAATAAATTTCAATAAATATGACTGATAAAATACTTTCTATACAATAAGTATATATCTATAAAGAATTATCTGCTATGAGCATCTTCCAAAAGTCATTTACATCTATTCTAACCTTTTTCAGACTGTTCATTTTCTACAGTTTATCAACTTAATCAATACTTGGATAGATGAGGTTCCTGAAATGCTGTGAGAGACAAATGTGTCTCTAGTGTCTAAGGGCACTGAACCCAGCAATTTATAATGATGGTTTCTTCCCTGGCAAGAGAAATGATGATACCTAGGGCCATCTTGCAACAAAATTGTGAAATATAGGTTACTTCAGTCCCTACAACCTTCCCTGTTTTTGCCATTTTACTCCTTCTGTGGGGCTCTGTGACTGATAAAGCTAGGTTAACAATCAATCATGATCAGCAGGTTGGAGACCATTATTAACTTATGCCTTGGTGAAAATTCAAGTTATGTGTGTCCTACTTCCAGGAGTATTTTCATTACCTCTAATTATGGAGTTGTAGTGGTGATGGTGATGGTGATGATGATGATGATGATTCTGATGTGATAATACTAGCTTTTTGGCATCTTACAGTATTGGAATTATATTTACAACCTTTATCTCATTGGAGCCTCACAAGCACCCTGAGAGGTAGTCAGCGCAAATAGTGTTTTTCCCAGAGATTAAATGACTTCCCCAAAGTCATGTAACTACCGAGTGGTAGAGCCAAATCTTCTAATTCCAAAGCCAAGACTCTTTGCCATATCTCAGTGGTCTGTGTTTAGAAGTTTAAGTGGCTTCCCACTGACAGATTATTCATGATGTTCTTTCTGGCATTGTGGTATGATTAGTTTGGGGGTTTGTTTGTTTTTTTTTTTTGGTGGATCAAGTTTCAGTTTCCATGTTCCTTCCCTGTTTCTTTTGCTATGCCAAAAAATAGAACCTAAAAGAAAATTATCGTTGTGATTTCCATTAATTGAATTGAAACTCATGAGGGCAACAAGGACCAGTCCAAATTCCTAAACTACTGACATGGTGGTTAGATCCCACTTCAGCTCTGGGATTCATATTTTTGACTTTGAAAGTATATTCTGCCTACAATCCTAAAGAATACTCATTTAGGCACAACTTAGGTGCCCAAATGTAAGTGATATATATACAAGGCCCTCTTCCCTTTCTCATGAACATTCTGACACAGAGTTCTCCTTGTACAGTACACTGCTTGCTCTTCAAAACGCTCCCTTTTCCATTGCTCCTTAAATTCCTTTAAACTTTTAACAACGACATTGAATGGGTTGTTTTAAGGAGGAAGAGGAAGAGTATGAAAACATAGGAGTAGCAGACAGGATAAGGAGACACCCACATCATAGCTCACAGAGAATCTTAAAAACTATAAATCTTAAATCCAGAAAGTTTACAGACCATAAGAATGTACAGTAAAATACTATTTAATGATAAGAATCAGGTGTTCTGGGAATAAAGGAAATCTGGACTGTAATCTAGTCAGGAGTCCAACTCTGCCCCTAAGTTGTGTGATTTTAGGAAACTAGCTTAACCTCCCTGAGTCTCAGCTTCTTCCTCTGTAAAATGGACTTAATTCATCACAGAAGGTGATTGTGAAGAAAGTCAAGTATAAGCTGTGAAGCAGCCCTGTAAATAAATAAACACTGCTATTGGTCTGGAGTGGTGATATCATTGGTATAGGTTACCCCCAGGGAGAAAACTCCATGCACCAAAGCAGATGGTGACACAGCCAGTATGTGTCTTGGGCAGGACTTGAACCCAGTTCTTCCTGATTCCAGGGTTGTTGTCTTCCACTACTTCTCCCCTCTTCTCTCACCCTGTCGAACTGCTATTATTACCTTATTCTAATTTGTCCCTGTTTTAAAGATGAATCATAGAACAATGAAGGGTTCAAAATACTCTCAAAGGTCACCCACACCCAGTCAACAATCTCTTCTGTCATATGAGAGATAGCCATCCAACCTCTGCTTGAAATGGAGGCTCAGAGAGGTTATGGGCCTTCTCCAGGGTGATGTAGCTCTTAGGACTTTACACCAGGGCCTGTGCAGCATGTGGCCTGTTTGCCACTTGTGGCCCACCAAAGGATTTTGGGCAGCCTGCAAAAAATGTATAGGATGTAAAACAAGCCTGCACAACATACTGCCATGGGCAGCTTTGACAAACCGCAAGTGGCCCCAGGCCTGCTTTATACTAACCCCAGGGTTTCTCTACAGAGGCATGATCAAGCTTTCTAACTGTTATTTTTCTCTTTTCAGCAGCACCTAAAATACAATAACAAATGTTTGGCTAATTTTTTTTTAATGTGACCCCTCCCCCCTTTTTTATTGATCAGAGTTACAAGGGAACACAGAGAAATGCTGGTCAAGCTTGCAAAACAGAACACAAACAAGTCTAAGGAGGCCCTGAGGAAAGTGCGGACAAATGCAATGAATAAACTGAAGAAATCCAAGGATACAGTGGCTGAAGATACAATTAAACTAATAGAAAAACAGGTAATTGCTATTTTCAGATCAGTATATAAATGTACATAAATTGTACATAACAGCTGCCGTAAATGCCCTGTGGGACAAGCAAGGCTGTAATAATTATAGGTCTCATTGTAGAGTGCTTTACATGTGGCAAAGTGCTGTCTTTGTACCATCCCAGTGAAGTCAGTAGTACAAATATTGTTCCTATTTTGTAGATGAGGATACAGGCCTGTAGAGGGGAAGTGACGTGCCCAAGGCAGGTACAAAGCCAGAACTAGAGTCAAGGCCGGAATGTGTGGGAAGGAGGATCATTGAGCTTTTGATCTGGGAGAGACCCAAGAGGTCATTTAGTGCTACCCTCCTGTTTTACTTCTGAGGAAACTGAGACTCTTAAACATTAAGTGACATTGTCAAGATCATACAGGCAGTAGGCAGCAGAGCTGCTAACTCCAAATTCAGTGCTCCTCACTTAGGACATGTTTCCTGGGCCTTCCAGCTGGAAGGAGTTTAGATTTGGGACCATCTGAGAGTTTTGAGGACAGCCATGGTTTAGGAGGAGTAATTGTGTGGCATTTATGCAGTGCTTTTTGCCTTACAATGAACCTTTCTCATAGCCATCCTGGGTGATGGCTGAGGAAACTGAGCCTTAGCATGGTGTCATACTTCCTAAGGGTCAGAGCCAGGACTTGAGCCCAGTTTCCCTGACTTTAGAGTCAAATCAAACAGCTTTTGTAGAAGGAATTAAGGAGGAGGTCATGGAAAGGGGTAGCTATGTTGACAACAGGGGTGCCCTGGGGAAGGTCCCTGGTGCCCCGAGTGTCCGATTTGCTGGTTGTTGGTAAGAGTTGGAGGTGGGAGATCCTGGAGGCTGGAACTCATGTCAGGGGTCTTGTACTCTTCCAGCACTGTAGTAAAGCACAGTGGATACTGGACCCACAATCAGGAGATAGAGCTAGGCTTAAATCCTAGCACTTAGACTAGATGTGAATATGAACAAGCCCCTTCAACTCTCTGAACCTCAGTTTCCTTATCAGTAAAATGAGGGAAATCATACTTGTATGAGATACAGCTCAGGCTTGTTGTGAAGAAAAGGTTTTGTAACCTTAAAGTGCTATAAAAATGTGAGTTGTTATTATTTCTACCAAATAGAGTCATCTGATGTCCCAGAGGTCTGTCCTTCCTTCCCTGCTTCTCCTTCCTTCCTTCCTTCCTTCCTCCCTTCCTTTCTCCCTTCCTTCTTTCCTTCCCCAGATGTACCTAGCATGTAGATTCTACTTCCTTTAACTCTTGCCTCATTCTTTCTTCTAGTTATTCAAGTGACACATGCTCAGAGACCATACCAGGCTCATAAAAGGAAGGTAGAAAGTGCTGTTGGGGCTGTAGAGCAGGCAGAAGCGAGGGCCTGAGCTGAACCCAGTGGGTTTCTGTGACATTTTGGGCAGGAGAAGGAAGGGCTCCTGCTGAGGTTTCCCAATCCCTTCTCTGCATCAGTAAATTGCTGCTGCTTTCCTGTGAGAAGCCTTGCAACGTTGGGGACTGGCAGACTTTCCTTACTTTTCCTGTGCTGTATTGGCCTCTTGCCTACAGTAGTAGCCACAGAGGCAAGAGAGCCACTTGGGTAAGAGAAAATGCTCCAAGAAGCTCGTCAGGGACTGGACCCATGTTCTGACTGACAAAGAAAACTCTTGGGTGAGAAAACTCCCTCTACTTCTCCAACATAGAGTCTTAGATAGTTGCCTCTTGCATTGGGAAGTTAAATGACTTGCCCAAAGTCAGAGGCAGAACTTGAACCTGGCTCTTCCTGGCTCAGGGCTCAGTTCTCTGTGTTGCTTTGTTGTCTATTGGATGTCATGTTAGAAATATAGAAATAGTGTTAAAATATTGCTGGAAAGAACTTCAGAACCCCAAATGTCAGGACATAGAACATAGACCTGGAGTGGGCTTTTGAATGTAGAACATTGACTATGGAATGACCTGGAAGGGGCCTGAAGGATGATCTGTGGTCTAGCACAAGCCCTGGTAGCACCTCCTAAGTTAGAAAGACAAAGCTCTATTTCCCCCAGCATTTAGCAGTATGTTGTTTTGCACGCAGCAAGTGTCTAATAAACGTCTGTTGTATTGCTTTATTATGAGTCTAGGCCTTACCTACCTACTGTTTGTGACTCTTTAAGCCAGTTTCCTCATTGATAAGGTGATGATTTCTGAGGTCCCTTCTAGCCTTCAGTCTATGATCGTCTATAATTGCATATTGCGAGACCAGTTTCTCCGTGTGGAGAGGCTTGCCACCACCACAGGGTTGGCCACTAGATAATTAATTTTTTGGCCAAGGCACTTCGGGAAGACAGCTACTAAATCATGGAGGAATTTTGATTTCTCTTGGTTATGGGGAATACCCACAAGGGTGAAATCATGGATCTTTTGAAGTATACCTTTGTTTATGGTTTCATTTCCTCCGTTTGTCATGTAAAACATTGAGTTGGAGTTTTTACTGATGAGACAGAGGCCAGCAATAATGCCATTAAAGGGCTAGGATCCTTTGTGGGGTGTTTTGAAATCTTTGCAGGGTATTTCAAATCCCTTTCCAAATCTACTTTATGTATGCACAAGTTTTAATATGAGGCTAATACTAGTTCATTTAACAGCCTGAATTTCAGTAGCACTTTATAGTTTTAAAAAATACATTTTCTTCACAGTAGCACTGAGGTAGGCAATATAAGGATTATTGTGTCCATTTTGCAGGTGAGCAAATTTTGACTCAGAGAATGGGTCTGACTTTTTTAAGATCCCACAGCAAGTTAGTGGAACAATCTGGGACTCCAACTCAGGTCTTCTCACTCTAGCCTAGTACTCTTTCCACTACCCTGTGTTGCCTTTCCAAATATTTTCTTCTATAGTATTTGACTTCCTTCACAATGGAGAGGTTGTCTTTACTTCTCTAGAAGAAGGGGTTAACTGTCTACTCTTGAGTTTATAGGAAAGAAAAGGTCCAATTCTAGACTTGTCCCCTGTAGGTTTAATTTCCCTCTCCTCCCTCCTTCCCTCCCAGTCTCCCCCAGCCCCTTGGCCTGGCAAAGCCATGCTGATTGAGGACTGAGGTCCTCCCCTCTCTAGCTCTGACATCTGCTGGCCTTCTGTTTTACCTTCGATCTGTCCTGCTGCTGAAACAGGCCTGCTAAACATGAAAGTACTTGGCAGCTACGGATGGCGTCTTCGGCCAAGAATCTTTCACTACAAACCTTTCAGAGAAGTGAAGCCACTCAGAAATAAACTAACCGTGCTGCCAGTAGGGACAGAGAAGAAGTTGAGTGCTGACTGCTGGGAAGTAGAGAAGGAGGAAAGCCATCGATTCAGGGTGCCAGGAACTTGCCTCAGGGCTACTCCTTCCCCTGACTCCCAGGCAGGCTTCAGGAAAGGTAGCCTTGAAGGCCAACCTGCTTTTGGAAGGGATTTCAACTGGTCCATTCCCCTTCTTCTTTGAAGCCCTGCCTTGTGACTGAGCCTAGGCCAGTCCAGAAAGGCCCGGGGGTTCTAGCACAGCCTGCACTGTACTGGAAAGAGGACTCAGTTCCCCCAAACCTCAGTTCTTGTCTTTTCCTGCCACTTAGCTATATCACTTTTCTTCTCTGGACCTCAGATTCCTCATCCATAAAATGTGGGGGATTAGATTAGATGTTCTCTGTGGTCCCTTATAGCCCTGTTCACAGAAACAGAATTTCAGAGTTGGAAGGGTCCTCCATGACTTTGTGGTCCCACAAAAAGAGTCTCCTCTCACGTTCCTTCTTTGAGCTTTCTTCCAGTTCTCCCTTTTCTGTTCCAAGCAGCTGTCCAGCCGCAACAGATCAGGGGCAGGTACTCTGGAGCAGGGCTGTCCCCCTTGCAGTCAGGGAGGGGAACTCGGGTTCCTGTCCCAGATGAGCCCATGGCCTGACTGTGTGTGGCACTGGACAAGTCCCTTCTTTCCTCTCTGCTTCACTTTCTCCATCTATAAAACAGGGATAGTGCTCCCTGCCCTGACTGTTTCATGAGGGTGTTATGAGGATAAGATGAGATAGTATTTGTGAAGATGCTTTGAAAAGTACACAGCACTATATACAGATGTGTTTTTGTATTCATTCTATAACCAACAATGAAGCTAAAACTGTGTTTTTTCTAGCCCCTAGAGCAGCATTCTATACTTTCTTGTTATTGTTCAGTTGTTTCCATCATTTCCGACTCTTTGTGACCCCATTTGGAGTTTTCTTCGCAAAGATGCTGGAGTGGTTTGCCATTTCCTTCTCCAGTTCATTTTACAGATGAGGAAACTGAGGCAAACATGGTTGAGTGACTTGCCCAGGGTCACACAGCTGGTAAGTGTCTGTGGCTGGATTTGAACTCATGTCTTCCTGACTCCTGGCCCAGTGCTCTATCTACTGTGTCACCTAGCTTCTCCAGTTAAGTACAGAGTACGTGCTTAATACATGTTTATGGAATTGGATGGGGATGGTGACTTGGCATAGGGAATCTCCTGAATGAGGAAACTTCTTCTATGTATAAGTATCTGTTATGTACCAGTCACTGTTAGGGGCTGGAGTTGATTTTGGTACAGAGATAATGACAGTGTGGTCCCTGCCATTTTGGCGTGATATGAAATAAATATGCAATGCCATAAAGTAAACTATGTTGTAGAACAAAATTGAATAAGAGCACCAAAGGTATTGAATTTGAAGTGTGGGAAAGATCAATTGTGATTATTATTATTATTAATAGCTAATATTTATATAATGCTTTAAGGTTTGTAAAGCACTTTACAAATATTATTTTATTTCATTTCATTATTTCATGTCCTTACAACAGCCTTGGAATTATTAGTATTATCATTATTATTCCCATTTTACAGATAAGGAAACTGAAGTTGAGGGAAGTTAAGTGACTTGCTTAGAGTCACACAGATAACTAAGTACCTGAAGCAGGATTTGAATTCAGGTCTTTATGAGTCCAGGTCCAACAACCTATCCACTGTGCCACTTAACAAAAGATGTTGGGGT